CCTCCCGCCAGTCCAGGAAGGCTTTCAGCCGATCAACAGCCCACGGGGAACACCACGAATGGGATTAATGCGGGCAGGAAAACAGGGATGCAGGCTGGAAACCAGCCAGGTGGACACCAGCCCACCGAGACCACCGCCACTGTGGGGACACACACCCAGGCATGCGTGGCACTGGTGCGCCCACCCGCAGCCCACCCTGGGCAGCCCGGAGCCACGTCTCCCCCCGCCCCAGGCGCACTGCTGCAGGCTTTAGCGTGCATCCTGATAAAGGGGCTGGCGGCCCTAAAATAGCTTCAAGCAATTGGGAGGCGTCTCAGCACCAGGTCATGGACTCCTTCGAGATGGAAACCCTGCTGGAAACATCCCTAACAGCAGGTAAGACAGTCCAGACCAGAGAAGCAAGCGGTGCTGCCCGCTGCCGCGCAGCCCCTCCGACTCACCGGCAAACTTCACGTGAAACTTGTTTTCAGGCTTTAGAATCTGAACGTAGAGAGGACAGTTTGGAGCAAAATCTTTCACAGCCCAGGCTCTCAGGATGGTCTGGTGGTCCTAGCCGAGGAGAAGAGCGAGAGGTACTTGTCTGATGGCTTATTTTCCCCAATGCTTCTACATCTGGGATGACCTGTGAAGCACCCAGCCACCGCTGGGTACGGCAAGGGCTCCTCTAGCACCCACTGCTAACGGGGGATAACCTCCCTCCCCTGCTCCCCAAAACCCATCACCGACGGGGAACGGGGACAGCAGAGGGAAGGTGAGCGCGCAGGGGCTCAGCCGGCCATGTGCCACCACGTGTCCCCATGCTGTCCCCATGCCACCTCTGTGTTTCTCTGTGCCTGCCCACGGGGACCCTTCAGCAGCTTTGTCACAAGCAGGAGCGCCCAGTGCCAAAGGAGGGAAGGGGCAGGCAGCGCCTTGGCCGCGGGGAGGGAGAGCGGCACCCTCTGCTCCACTCGTTAGCACCCGCAGAAACAACCCCTCCGGTGGGACCACATGGGCTCAGGATGGCACGGGCAGACAGGAGCCACCGTCACAGCATGGGCAGCATCCCTGGCACTAGCCGGCAGCGAGAGCTGTCCCTGCTGCCACCTCCTCCCTGTCCCAGGGCTCCAAAACTAAGATCTTCCCAGCAAAGTCCCTGCTCAGGCTGGGGGTTTTGGGGTGAGCTGCCCCAGGGCACGCAGGGTGCACAGCACTCGAACCCCACGCTCTCGCCCCGGCTGCCTCCCGGCGCGCTCCTGTGCCGCGCAGAGGCAAGATGCAGCGATCACCCCGGTCCCTTCCAGCCTGAGAAACGGATAATCGCCGACCATGCCATTCCCCGGGCCTGGCTTACCGCCGCGGTGCGGTCCACCTCATTTCGGCTGCTGAGAATGAAGCAGGCTTCTCCGTTGTCCATCCTGCAAATGGAGAGCAGCGACCCCATGAACGGCACGGGCCAGCAAAGCCGGGCATCTGCCCGTACCAGCCGGGGTGCTGAGAGCCCCTCCGGGACCTCAGCCATGGGGGTGCCCATCGTCATGCATCTGGGCTGACATTACTGGGGACCCTCCTCTGCCGCTCCAAGGCCCGCGGGCAGCACGGCCGGACCGGCCTCGCCGTGGATGTGCAGCATGTCCCTCTGCTCACTTGGCTCTCATGAGGTCCTGGTCCTTCAGCGCAGAGCCCTGGAGGTAGATCACTCGCTGCGACCACAGAGGGATCTGCAGGACCCGCCGCACCTGGATGTCCATCTCTGTTGGGCAGAGTATCACCACGTAGTAATCCTGAAAGAGAGAGGCTCGCGTGGGTCGGCAGGTCCCGCACGCGCCTGAGCAGTGACCCGAGGAACGGGGCTTTGCTGCCCGAGCGAACTGCTCCTCTGGGGCTTCTGATGCTCGTTGCCATGTGTGACACCCCCTGCCCCTGCTCTAGGGCCCTGCCAGGGTCTTGGAAAACACATCCACAGCTTCCCCACTCCGTTCTGCATAACAAAGTCAATGCAGGCGCATCTCCATGCCCACAGCAAAGCGGAGCCTCTTGCAGTTACAGAAACAAGCAGGATTTTAAAGCCTGAATGTGTGGAATCAAGGCTGGGCGATGCTAATGAAGCATATGTGAGTGTCGGAACGAAATGCAAATCTGAAACGCGTCTGTGATGCTCTCATCCTGGGGAGATGGAAAGGCACAGTCATTTGCTTGAAGATCACTTATTATGTGGGGATACTCCAGTCAGAGCTGGGTAAATCCCACTGAGGTTTAGCAATTACATGTTCTGTTTCTGTCTGACATTCTTCATTCAGTAAAGACATCCCTACATTTAGAAAAGTCCCTCTGGTCCCTCTCCATGTGCTCACACAGTGCTGTAACAGGCCTGGCCAGAAAATGGGGCAGAGAGAGCCCCACCACTGAGGTGAGAAACTGAAGAGGTCCTGGGGTACCACTTGTCATCTCTCCTTGGCCGCTGCTGGGCCGGATGGTTTTTACCTTATTCTTTGCTCCAGCCCCTGTAGCGGGGCAGGGCGCTCACCCCCAGCAGCGACCCGCCGTGCCCAGTGAGGCTGCGAGCCCGGCAAGGGCACGCATTGACCGAGGGCATGAGAACATGCCTGGTCCTCACCTGCAGGCGCGGGTGGGCGTAGAACTCATTGAGGAAGTCCATGAGGAGATCAATCTTGAGGGAGCTGACACAAAGGACGACGTGTTTCTCCGTCTGGGCACGGTGGCGGCTGTAGTTGCCACCCGACTTCTGCCGCTCCATCCACAGGTAGACGAGCTCCTCGAACTGCAAACGAAGGCAGAGAGCCGATGTCCCCATCGGCAGGGTTGCACGCCTGCAGGCTCCGCATCCCTCTCCATCCTCGGCCACGTGGGTCTAACCTGGAGCGGCAGCACGACCAGGGCAACGCAAATCATTATCACGACGAGGAGCTGGGAAGGCCAGATCTTTGGTGTCACGTCTCCGTAGCCCACAGTGGAAAAGGTGACGATGCAGAAATAGAAGGACTTGAAGAGGGAGAGCTTCTCACCTGCTCTTTCTAAATGCTGGATGCCACAGGTCCTGGAGGGAGAAACCACACATCGCAGTGAGCGCTTCCCTGCCCGGGAGACAAACAGTGCCTGCAGCTCCTGCTGACGTCAGTGGGAAACCCTAGAAGGTGACTTATACCCATGTCCATGGAGGAAATTTGCCTGTAACACGTTGTCAGCATCAGCAGTGGATTTATGTCACCACCAGACACTATAAAGCTAACGGCGCTTACAGATGGAGGAGTTAGTTTGATGTGGTTGCTCACCAAAGCAGCATGGGGAAGTCTAGGTCCATGGGATGGGTCATGATAAGACCATGCCACGGACAGTACGTCCCCATCCCTGGAGGTATTTAAGGATTGTGTAGATATAGCGCTCAGGGACATGGTTTAGTGGTGGGCTTGGCAGTGTCAGGTTAATGATTGGACTAGGTGATCTTACAGGTCTTTTCCAATCTGGGAGATTCCATGATTCCGTAGCATGCCGCATCCGCCAGGAAACATGTCCACAGCCCCAGCAGGCAGGAGGTGCCACAGGCAGGGAGCACTGATGAGCTCCGAAATTGCATTAGTCATTCACATCAGAGGATCGTCTTTATTGCCAAAGACTCATGAGCCTAAAAGCTTCATTTCCTGTTGTTCAGCAACTTAATGGTATTATGTGCTTCAAATCCAGACCAAGGGAACCAGAGGAAGATTCAAGAAGCCTAATTCAAAGCTAAGTACCCAGTGATGACAACTGACTCCTTTATAAAGAGATGCCCTTGTTGTTGGCAACGTGCGGGTTAAGGGCCCAGTTAATTAGCAGGAGCCCCAGTGGCCTATTACACAAACGAGCTCAGCAGCCATGGTAACCTGCTGGGAGGAAGAGCACAGTCAGAGACAGCGGGTGCAGTGGGTCCTGGTGACTGGGCTGTCACACACCTCTGAGCCCGTGTCCCCACGGGATGCTGCTGTCCCTGTTCTTGACCCTGCGGCGCTCCCAGCCCTGCTCTGACTCGTGTCCGCATCACCCATCTCCCTCCGACAACGCCCTCATCCTCACACGCGCCCGTTAAAAAGTTTCTCTTAAAACCGTATAATTAGAGAGGATAATTAGTTTCTAAAATAGGAATCGAACTTCCCAGTGCTCAGTGCGTTGGGGAAAGAAGCGAGGCAAGGAGGAGCCCAGCGCTGGGGGCTGGTGGTGCAAGGGGTCCTTCAGCAGACATGGCTGTGTCCAAGCCAAAGCCCACGGACACACGTGGAAACCTGGGGTGCACTCCTTGCCACGGCTCCCCCGGTTCCAAAACTCAGCCCAGGGACCTGGGACTTGTCCCGTTAGCAAAGGAAGGGTGCAGAGACCCGGGAGATCAGTCCCATCAGCAACCCTGAATAGTTATGCTTTCCTCAGTGCACGCAAACCTCTTAGGCTGAGAAACCAGGCTCGAAGACGCTGCCCAAAGGCAGAACCTCCTCTGGCTTCCCAAATCACCACGTTATGTCCTGGCAATGCCACCCCACCGCAGCTGGGAAGGTCCCAGCCCGCCTCCCTCTCCTGGAAGCCCTGCGAGAGGCCAGCTCTACCAGTCACCCCTGGGACGTGCAAAGGTGGTTTCCCTGGATGAAGAAGACGGTTCTGTGAAACAAAGAGCAACACTCACCCCGTGAAAACGAGACACAGGAGGGTGCAGATCAGAATGAGCACCTGATTAAACATCGCCGACTGGGTCCTCTGTATGGCTCGGTGCAGGTCGTTCTGGGAAGAGAGGAGAGCACTCTCACCAGCTCAGAGAGGCTGTGGGTAAAGTCCTCCTCCAAGTACCAACTGCTGTCCTGCTGCTCCAGCAATGCCCCCCCAGATGAAGGTCAGGCCAGAATCTGGCCCTTGAAAATAGATGTGCATTTCTGTGAGCAGGTCTGGGTCTGCTGCCGGGAGGGACAGCTCGAGGGGGCCCATGGGAATGGCTGGAATAGCTCGTCCTGCTGGAACACCATACCCCGGGGACGGCTGGAGGCCGTCCCTGCCTATACACAGCCAACAGACTCAACGTGGCTCAGACAGCAGAGGGCTCCTGCACCGGTGCACAGCACAGCATCACCAGCTGGCAATGCCTCATCTCCCACCAACCCCGGCACGGCTGCACGCACTGAGCACCCAAAACCTGCCCCGGAGCCGGCGGCAGGTGAGGACCCCCCTCCCGGCCACACCGCCCTCGGCGTCCCCAGGGCAGAGGGACCCAGGGCGAAGGGGGTGGGATGCGTCCGGCCACTCACAATCATGTTCTCCAGGGCGTATTTGGCAAGCCAGCAGTTCAGAAACACGGGGATGAACAAATTCCGCAAAGGAGGCCAGAATATCTACAAAAGCAAGGGTTACTCGCACAAAAATCGATGCTCTTTATTAAAAAAAAAAAACAAAAACAAAAAAACAAAACCAAAACAAAGCTATAAACAGCCAAGTCGAGCCCTGTCAGGAAGGGTCCATCTCCAGACTAAGCACCGGCCTCTGCAGAGGCTGCCACCGAAAATGGCCCCGCTCCCTCGGCTGCAGCACAGCAGCTGAAAACACAGGATGTTTTTTGGGGTAACAGTCCAGAGAAAGTCATTATGTTGAAAAACATTGAAGAAAAAAATTTCCTGCCAGCTTTAAAAACTACTTGGCAAGACATCCATTTTTCTTTATTTCACCACCAAAACTACAGTACTTACTCAACTTAACGCCACTTTAAAACGTCACCGGGAAACACTCACCGTGATAATAAAGGGCACCGTGTTGATCATCTCAAGGATGAACGAAATGCGAAAAATCTGTTCCCAGATGTTCCCCTGAGGAATTAAAAGCAAATAATAATTAAACAAGCTTTAAAATCTGCCAAAGGACAATTAAAAGCTCCCACTCTTCCACAGACCCCGCTGGATGGGGGAAGGACGCCAGAGCAGCCAGAAGGATGCTCCGGTTTGCCCGCAGTGCCGGTGACGGGCACGCTGCAGTGGGTAAAGCCTTCCCAAACTGTTCAGTCCTTTGCACGGCCACGACGTCCCTCTGTCCGTCACTGCCGCTGCCCAAAGGCGGGCGACAACAACGCTTCATGCAAAGATGGAGAATGAGAGTCACCGGTACAGATCGCTGGCACTCAAACCAGGCGGATGACACAGGGTCTGAGCCTTTGCTGCCAACTGTCCCAGGGACCCCAAGAAGATGCCATTTGTTACGGTGAATTTTCTTGGCTGTTTTAAGGGGTTTTCATCCAAAGGAGTCAGCCTGTGCCTCTCCCTGTCTGGCGCGGAGCAGTGCCTGCGACCTCCGGAGGCAGCAGACCTCGGCACAAGCCGGGGTCATGCCGCCGCGCTCAGCTCCAGGTCCCCAACCTGGGGAAACTCAGCGTGCGCCAAGCTGCCCCCCTAAAAAAAGCAGCGACTCTTTGTAAAACAGGTCTGAATTTAAAGGAAGGTGGAAAAAGAAGAGTTTTCCCAGCTCTGCTCTGCCAAACACTCATGGAGAAGCCCGAGGGGGAATGAGAAAGGCAAACAGCCACAGCCAGCTGAGACATCGCCGAGACAAACGTCCTCTCAGGCCGTTGGGCTTCAGACAGCTCAAAGACAGAGAAATGAATTCACAGCGGGAGGTCGGACCCAGACTGCACATCACTGTCCACCACCTGTCCCGGGGCTCTTACCTTGTAGCTGAGATAGATGAGCAGCATGGTCTCCAGAAAGCTGATCAGAGCGATGCTGACCTGCGGAGACAGACAGGCACAGGCTGCTGAGGGCTCCTGCCACGCGTCGCCGCTCGCTCAGAGCTCTGCCCTCTGCCGTGAGCGGCCCGTGGGTACCGCAGACACAAGCTTGCCCCGCACCCCTTTGGGTTAGACGTACGAGTGTCCGCAACAGGCGTGCAGGCAGTCCCTGACGGGCCCTCAACCCTCGCACGAGCCCTTCCCCGCGCAGCTGCCCGGACTGAAAATAACCCGTTGCTGGTACCGCTGCCTCCGGGCTGGGGAGGAGCTCAGCCAGCCTCACGATTTTATCTTCCTGCAGCTTCTCCTCTCCATCCCCAGGATTTTCACCCAGGGCCACGTTGTTGCCCCCAGCAGAAGCCCCAGCTCATTTTCCGCTCACCCAAGAGAACCCGTTGCCCCTCGCTGTCGCGGGCAGCGGATGCAGAGAGACGCGCTGGCGGCAGAGCCCAAACCCCAGCTCCTGCTCTGCTCCTGCCCGAGCTCTGGGCGCTCACCTGCACAGCCCACAGCGGCATTTTTCTATCCACCCAGAAGATGTGTGACCTGCAAAGAAAATTCAAAACAGATCTAAGCTGTCGCCCAACCAGCAGTGCCTTTACCCCCCACCGAATGCACCACTGCTTCAGGATCCAGTACTGGTGTTCCTCACTGCGCTGTTTGTCCAAGCAGCCTCTGCACTGGGAATAAGCTGCCCAAGGGCGCAGCCACAGGCACATGTCAATCGATTTGATCCTGGGATGCTGCTCCGCATCCCTTGAGCATCCCCCTCACCAAGAAATGGCCGCAGGCAGCTGCCAGCACCAGTCACGTCCAGCACCGCATTCCCACACCCTGGTAGAGCCGGACCCCGGCACTGGAGCAACTCCCGACTCACCAGTTTATCTTCGTGGACTGGTTGAACGTCGTGTAATTCTGCTTTTCGCATTCCCAGCTAGGAGAAGAGAAAGACAGAGCAGGGGGAAGCAGTCAGCGAGGGGGAAGGAAGGAAACGGGGTGCCGGCGCTGACTCCCCGGGCTCATGGGGTGCCCTCGCCGCGGTGTCCCGATGCCGTGGGGGGCCCCGGACAACACTCCCACAGGTCCAAACACACACGGGTGCCTATAGCCGGGGCTTTCCACAGGAGCCTCTCTCACCCAGGCTGGTTTTAATATCTAATTACTGGGGAATAAGACCCATCACATACTTCAGCCCGTACCAGAGATGCTGCGAATCACTGATGCTCACCAGGCGTGGGGCTCCCTGCACTGCAGCTGGCAATTACCAGGTTACAATTAGCAAAAACTGCTGAGCTTTGGCTTTTTTTTTTGCTGGGCCCCCAGCAGCCAGGCAGGCAGGCAGCGCAAGCCACTCTCTCCCCTGCCGTGCTGCGAGGGACGCGTTCCCTCTGCCTTTATTCTGCCACACACCTTCGGGAAAGCGGACTGCCCTGAACCTGGCCAGGATGTGCTTAATTCCAGTCACGCTTAATTCTTACTGATTGGAAACCACTTCTGGACAATGCAGATGTACTTGGTAGTCTGCAACCTTTACAAAGAGAAAATCCAATTGCTAATTCTCCCAGCTCTTGAAAAAAACCCACAGTGTATGTGAGCCAAGCAACGCAAGGACATATTAAAAATAGGCTTATACTGAAACCTAGAGCAAAGCTGATGTATGCAATCATCTGTCACCTGGGGGATCTAAATGGCAAAACATATTTCCTTCCCAAACGCTTAAATGGGATTTAGCATAAGCGTCTTCAAGGGCATCAGGATTCAGAAAACACTTGCATGGTGATGCCCTGTAATCATGAACTCTCGCCTGTGTCTGAAGGCCACGCTGCACCCCTGCCCGTTAGACAGCCTTTGGAAACGAACATGATGCCGAATTCTTCCACCGCCTTCCCTCTGTGCGCCCTGCGGGGCCACTGGATGCCCAGCGCCTGACCACGGGGTTTGAGCAGGGAGCGAAGCCCACCAGACTGGTAAGTTTGGCTCAGCTATCAATTCAAACCGCTGGAGTGAGAAAAACCATCCGTCGTGCAGCTTCACACCCGCCGGGAGCGGCTGCCACCGCGTCTGCGCCCCCCTTGCGCGGGGCGGCGTGGGGAACCCGGCGGCAGCGGCACTCACCAGCCTATGCCCTCCTCCGGGTTGTCGAGCAGGACGCGGACGATGTACAGGAGGCAGGTGAGCAGCTTCAGCGAGAAGTTGAAGAGACGGATCCTCAGGCCTGCGGCAGAGGGGGGCACGGCGTGGGGCAGGCAGCGCACGCCCCGGGCACCCCACGCAACCCGGGCATCCTGTGCACGCCACGCACCCCAAGCACCCCATGGACCCCATGGACCCATGCACCCCATGGACCTCATGCACTCTACACACCCATGGACCCCATGGACCCCATGGACCTCATGCACTCCATGGACCCCAAGCACCCCAGACACCCCCTGCACCCCACAGCAGAGCCTTTTTAGTTTCCCCGAGCTTCGCAGGGCCCTTTGCACCGCAGGACCCCACTGAGCCCCAGAGGAGCTGCAGGAGCCCCAGGGCAACACACAGAGGTTGTTCACGCTTTGCCCGGGGCTCCACGCGTCCTACCCAGTGACGAATATATAGGAGGCCAATACAGAAATAAATAACCATGAGTCAGCTCCCTGCTGGCCCCAATAGATGTGAGAGGCAAACAAGGGAGCTGCTGGAGTGTATCCCCCTCATTAGCAGGCATCCATTAAAAAGCGTGAGACAGGCAGGGCCAGGGCCCCGCTCCGCTCGCCACGCTGCAAACAGCTCGTGGGAGAAGGGACAGTGAGCAAAAGCTGCTGCTTTATCCACTCTCCCTCCCCAGCCAGTTCATCGGGTTATTACTCAAATTACAAGTGAGAAATTCATCACATTTTCATTAAAAACTTCCCCGTGGGCACCCTGTTGTGCTGCGCTCCAGCTTTTTAACAAGACGACAGGATGCAGGAAGGAAAAGAAAATGTGAATTTATAAATTAACGAGCGGACTCCCTCCAGACAGCTAATGACATCTCAGAGAAAGAAAATAAAAACACCATTAGTCAATTGGAGGCTGATCCGGATGGCTGAAGCAGGAGCGGGTAACTCACTGCCAGCCTCCGCTGTCCCCACAGCCGCTGACCTCCCTGCGGGCACGGGGAGCGTCGCCGGATCTGTGCCGGGGACATTTACTCCCCGACGCCCCCGGGTAGCCCCCGACGCCCACCCTGCTCCCAGCCAATTTGTCCCAGCTGGTTCCCACATTTGTCCCCAGCAAGCAGCGGTGGCAGGCAGCATCCCTTCCTCCCCATGCAACCGCGTCCCCCCAAAGCAAGTTCACCAACACCCAACAGAAAGGCCAAGAGGCAGCGGCAGGCCTGAGCTGGGCAGCCAGCGCTGGGGACACACAGGGAAACAGCCAGCAGCAGATGGCAATGGCTTCTCGTCCCACGGGGACGGAGCACGGCTCTGGAGCTGGGCAAGGGTTTGGTTTCTCCAGGTAGACTCTCCCGGCTCCACACACGGAGCACTCACTCGATCGCTGGTTTTTGATGAAGAAGAGCTTCAGCCGCTCCTTGAAGGTGTTTTCATTCACGTAGAACTCGACCTGCACCCTGCGGGGAAAGCGCCCAGAGCAGCCCGTCAGCGGGGTGGGAGGTCGGACCCAGAGCCCCCCGGGAGCCCTGTCCCCGTCCCGGCTCGGTGACCCCCCCCAGAGCAGCCCACAGCAGACCCCAGGCTCAGCCTTGGGCTCCCAACTGCTCCCACCATACCAAATCACCAGTACCACCAGCCCTGAGCACCAAGACATGGCACACCGATGACTACCAAAGCAGCCGATGTGACCCACAGGGTCAGGTCTACCGTGGGTTCAGGGCTTTCCTTTCATTCACATGCAACCAGCTGACATCAGACTTGCACACTTCTCCTTTCCCAACATTCAAAGCCCCTCAGAAAAGCGGTGGCTTTGGAGCAGTCTCTGCCAGCAGTGTTTTATCTGCTCCAATGCCCTGTGGCTGCAGCAGAGCAGGAGCCGGCGAGGGTGACATCCCCGGTACACCCATGCCCTGGCTCTGCCTGGGTAGGAGCAACGTTCAGCATTGAAACTGTTAAAAAACAAATTCGATCTGAAATGAGAAAATTTCCCTTTGTTGCTAAGATACCACACTTGGCCATTCCAGAAAAACCCAGGAGCTGCCAACCAACTCAACGTCACTTGGCATTCGGAGCCGCTGGTGACTTGTGGCACGGGGACAAGGTGCCGTGGCAGAGAGCCACCCGCCGGGGCCCTTCGCAGAAACTGCCCGGGGGGAGCCGCAGGTGAGACTGAAAATGCCCCGTCTACCGCTGTGACCACCACGGGCACATCTTCATCTTCGCTGCCCCCCATCCGCAGCCCTCCTGCCGATGCCCACATGCCGGGTGGATGCCCACGGCCGCACAGACCGGGAAAAGCCTCAGGGAGGCTGGAGGTTCCTCCCCACGGATGTCAGCGGGGTCTGGGATCAAGCACACCCAGATTAAGGGTGCACAGGCAAAACTGGTCCCCGCTCAGCTCATCTGCCACCCGCCTCTGCCGCTGCTTTATAAACACCCGCAGCCCTTTGCAACCGCGCTTATTCACAGCCGGCAGGGTTACAAATTACACTCCTGCCTGCTAAGTGCAGGCTAAAAGGGATTGCTTTCTGATGCCTCGGCTTTAGACTCTGAGCAAGACAAAGTCTGTTCATTACTGTTACAGCTGATAATGGAGTTAAGTGCAATGAATTAGCCGTTTCTCCTATTTCACTGTATTCAACAAGTCTCTTAAGCAAGTGCTACTGTTATTACTATTTCTTTAACTGCTTGGAAGAGGTCATCAAGATCTCATTAATCAGGCAGAGTACCAAGCCAAGGCATAGACCAAGGTGAGCAAATTCCCCGCGACGGTCGTTAAACCTACCGCCCCATTTTATTTCGCCCGCGCAAACCCCGTGCGCACGTGGTGCCGGCTCCAGTCGAGCGTGCCGCCTGGCACACGCCACCGAATCGTGATTTATTGGAAAGCAGCTGCTAGTTGCTCTGCCAACAGAGGGATAAACAAATATTTACTGAGCATTAATGCTGAGCTGATCAGGCGGCAAATTGGGAAGGGGTTTTATGAGACCCCCATTGCTCGGGAGTCCCTCGTCCTGGTGCCCACCGGCACCCGCTGGCATTTCACAGCCAGCCTGACCGCTTGTGGGGAAACTGCCCAGCACGTAAAAAGCATTGCAAACCCTTGAGAGCACCTCGGGGCTTCTTGTGGACTCCCTTATCAGGTTGAAAAGTCAGATTTTTAATTTACGAGGCTTTTATGTACAAAAAGCAAAGGCAGAGAGAGAAAGCCGTCACCTCAGGCACGGTAGCCGGGATAAAGTTTTAGATGAGCTACCAAACTTCACAAGTTTCTGCCATAAGCCGGTAACTGCTCTCTGAATTAACGCCCCTTGGAGTGATGCAGTGGGAACCCACCGGCAGCTGCCTGGTCCGGTGGCTGGCAGGACCGGTGATGGGCTCGGGGTGGCAGATCCGCTCCGAGAGCCCATCCTTCAGCATCTCCCTAACGCTGCTGCAGCAGCACAGCCTGGACCACATGCAGCCCGGGGGGTGGGTGACACGCACCAATCTGAGCCCCTCTGGCCCCGAAGCTGCTGTGGGCAGAGCCGAGGGGCTCCACGCTGCGAGGTCATCTTGTCCCCATTGATGTAGCTGGAGAGGAAAGAAATCAGGAGCCTCAACTGGGAAGCAAACACTTGAGCTCCCGTTGCCCACCCTGCAGACCCTGCGCCCAGCCCGGGTCCCTTGGTGGGATGTCATGCACCCAGCAGCTCCGTAACGGAGGTGACAATAACCAACAGCCTCGGTGGGCAGTCCCCAGTCCTGCTGAGACATTTGGCATTTGTGCTGGTTACAACGCCACGGGGAAGGATGCCCCGGTCCGGCTGGCAGCGCTCAGCAAAGCCATCAGCGGCGATGCGAGCGCGTCGCTCCTCACCAGGATGTCGAAGAGCATCAAGTGAGGAAAATGCTAAAACACAAACGCAGCCGTGGCGGCAGCTGCGGCGTTTCACCGAGATCATACCTCGCCCCAAACGTGTCCAGCCGGCAGCGGTGGGGAGCAGAGCTGAGCCGGCATTTTCGGGGGTGGGGGGGTTTTGCACAGAACCCGGTGCGCATTCACCAGCCGCGCTCGCTGGCTCGAGGAGGGAGCGGGGAGACGGGGGGGGGGACCACAGACCCTGCCACGGGGGCGGGGAGCGGCGAGGCGCTGGCAGGTCGTGTTACT